ATTGTGGCCCGTATGTATGGTTTTTAATTCATGTTGAATGTATGTTGTTTTTAAAGGCTTGGACATGTCAAGGAATTTTTGGGTTGGTGAATGCTTGTAATAAATTATTCGCGTGGTGGGACACCGCATAGGTTATTGCTTTCATAGAAACTCATGTACGGCTCCTGCGTGGGTCATAGGATGAATTCTGTAATTGTTGTTTATGTTGTTCATTATTGATCCGGCGGGCGTGGACCAACCTTGACGGGGCGAGGCATAAACACGTACACGGATGCCATGGTGATGATCCAATGGCGACTTTCCCGCAGACGACCAATTCAGTGGGAGTCACTGCGAAAGAGGGAGTTCCAATACCCGAAACGGAGGACACACTCAACAAGGACAGGACTGTGTTTTCTCCGTAACATTGGAGATTGATTAATGGCCTTGATAGTTGGATTATAGTTCCTAGTTTATTATTGCTCATTAATCATGCATGTTTTACGTGATTGCTTATGTGCAAATACAAACATGTTAAGACAATCCCATAAACTAAAAATTATATTAAGTGTGTAATGGGTTGAAATAAATTACATCGAAGTCCTCCATTATAGGTTTGTCAGTGAAGTGATTTAATTAGAGCCCAAAGGACGTTTTATTTCACAGTTCACAAGGACGAATCTCCTTCGGGATGGTTATAGTGAGCTATTTCAAAAGCGTACGGGTCACCAAAGGTGGACGTAAAATTTTGGTAGTAAACTTAGTACCAATTAATGGGTTACGCTTAAAGTGCAAATAATTACGATAGTCCCAAAGGACAAGGCCTTTTTTATTCTTTTATAAAGATTATTCTTTTAAAAAGTTAATTGCGCTGGCCAAAAGATGAAACCGACTATTAGTTGAGTACTGTTAGGCAGTATGTCAAGCTAATGGGATTTATCCCTCCTCTTGCGAATGTTTGAACCGTAGACGTCCACACTCAGTGGCCTGCGGGGATTCGGTGTTTTGAGGTGTTTGTGAATTTACTCAAATGTTGTTTTAATGGGATCAATATTTGATGTATAAATTCAAAACTACTTAACTGAGTAAAGACTATGTTTGCGTGATCCCAGGAATTCAAAATGTCTTTCAATCCGTTGTGCGTAATTCTCAAAGAAAACAAACTTGTTGGTCCCAATTATATTGACTGGAAAATGAACTTGGATATTGTGTTAACTGCTGAAGGGTACAAATTTGCTACTGTTGAGGCTTGTCCGGCTGTGCCTGCTGACAAAGCACCAGACCAAGAGAAAGAGGAGTATGCTCGGTGGAAAAAGGCTGACGAGATGGCGAAGTGTTACATCTTGGCATCGTTGTCAAATGTACTTCAACATCAACATCAGTCTATGAACACTGTAGCGGATATGCTTCTCAATATCAAGAAGTTATTTGGTCATCAGTCGCGGGCTGCCCGACAAGAAGCCACGAGGGTTCTGATGAACATGACCATGCGCGAGTGCTATGATGGCCCAGCTGAATGAGCTGAAGGATCTTGGGGCTTTTATTGATGGGGAAACCCAGGTCGATATAGTGCTCCAGTATTTGCCGAAGAGCTTTGAGCAATTTCGGTTGAATTATAACATGAATAAGATGTTGA